ATTCTATAAAAAAAGGGATGGAAATACCGGCTATTTTTCAGACATGAATAAGAACTAGGTGCATAGTGAGGTCTTCCATAGGTCCTAAAAAATGTGGTTACTTTTTTTTGTTATCCTTCTGAATTTACGTTTCATTTGAAAAATCTCTCGCTCTAGCCGTTGTGGTAGAAGTGGAAGTCCTATTGTCGCTGTAAGGTAGCTCTTGTAATGTAAAACTTATTCGATGGGACTAATCATAATGAGCGCTAACCTAGTATCTCCAAATGGCTAAGAGAAACTGTACGAGAGTGATATAGCGCTTAATATATAATTTCCATTAAAAAAACTTTGAAAAACGATCAAAGAGGGATTATTTGGGTTTATCCAAAATTTCAATGGAATGTCATCACTTTTATTAAAAGCATACTCGTAATCAAAATATCTTCATATCAGTTGATTTGAGATGCATAAATTCTTGTGGATACTGTTTTAGGCAGCTGCCAATGTTGCTCCTCATTCGTCTCAGCTACAAAATTCAAATGTGAACATCCAAAATTACAATTTGAACCTTGATCAACCAAACAATGATCACCTAAACGGAGCGTTTCTCTCGCATTTGGAAAAGGATTTTGAGAAGAACTTCTTACATGAGGTTTGTCTACTAAATTATTATAAGAAGTTGCCGAAGAAGAAATGCAGTGTCAAGTGATAGGGTAATAGTTCTTAACAATTTTAATTTTTCCGATCCAAACTTCGCATCGCTTTTTCAGGGTGCTGTGAAAAATCCACAGCCTTTTACGCAACAGATGCGAAGGAATAGACAGGTTTGTCTTCTCATTGATAGAACTGCCACCGATATTAACCTACAAATTTGTTTGACATTTGTTTTTGTATACAAAACCTTTACTTCTTATCGAAGTTCACCGCATATGTCATAAAAAACAGTTCGTGCGTAAATTTACGAGCAAATAGGTGTTTTGCAAAAATTTTTGCCTGAAACGGAACTTTCACTTTAGTAGATGAGATATCGAGTAGACTGATGCCTTAAGTTATAAGGATGTAATGGTTTGTTACCATATAGAGTACAATCTTTT